CCATTGATTCATGCAAATCGTAATGGAAGTATAGATATCGGTCCGAGTCGGAGTAAAGTGTCGGAGATACAAAATCAAAATCATCTGAAAGGTTGCTGATCATCTCGTCATAAATTGCTTCCATACTTTGCTTGTAAGTTCCGTCGGGTAGTCGTTCGCATAGATTGACAATCTTGGGGATGTCAAGGTGGTCAATCGTCTCCTGGTATAAGACTCTGGTATCCCCATCTGGGTCGTCGCTGTATTCCAGAGTTCTGTCAGTAGAAGTCGAGGGTTGCTCTCCTGCTGGTACTTCATCTTTACGAATGGGAAGTACAGGTGGTTCTGTCGTATCCGCTGGAGCTGGCTGTGTCGAGGACGTACCCGGCGTAGCCGCTGGCAAGTCCGTTGACGATGAAGAAGCTCCTGGTTGATATCTCCCCGTAGAAGTCGTCGGTGGTCGTGGTGGTGACTCAGGCTGCCAAGGAGAGGGCCATGGATATGGCGATGATGATCTTCCTCGCTTCTGAGGTGGTGACTGTGTCGCGTCTGGAGGATCAACTGCTTTCTGCTTCTCCGCTGTGCTTGCCTTGGACTTGTCCAAGTCGAGAGGAATGTAGGGTAACTTGTCAGGAGTAGCTGGAGTCTGCAGTGAATCCTCTGATCCATGTGTGTCTCGGTGCTGTGGTTGCAACGAAGGTGGACCCATAGGTGCCTCTCGAGAGATACGTCGAGGTGCTGGTCCAGGTGCTGGAGGTAGGTCGTGATCATGTCCATGAGCTGGTATCTCCTCCATGTCGTCGTCGCTGTCGATGGTCTGGTCGCCTGGGACGTTGAGCTGCGGCGTGCCTGCCGTAGCTGGTGCCGTCGAGGGTTGACCATGCGATGGCTGATCTGGTGGTCGTCCAGGCTCTTGTGGAGGTATAGCATTTGACCGAAAAGGTGGAACTGGTGGTGCCCGAGCTGGCGGTGCTGGTGGATCCCGCGGCGGCTGCTGATCCGGAATAACAATGTCAGAGAGGTCGCCAGGCCAGTCAATCATGCTGATGTCACTCCAGTCCAGCTCTGGTGGATCGAAATGCTTGTCCAGATCCTCGCAATGGTCATAGCTGTAGAGCATCATTGTGCTGTAGTTGGTAGATTGCTCGGCTGTATAGCGAAGAGCTATGTCTGGACGTCGTACACGAATATTGTAGTCAGCTCGGTCCTCTCGTCGCCAGCGTAGCAGTAGAGCCCACTGTGCATATTCAATCTGAGGAAGTCGACGTACTTGTGAGCCGCACAAGATACCATGCACAGGCTTGAACGTATCGCTGAATATCTTGATGCCCAGGGCCAAAGGCTTGCATGAATCGCAAGCTTCTTCACTGGGAACATATACTGCTCTTGCTGCCATACCAAGCCAAACCAATATATCTTAGTGGGCGTAGATCCATCAACTAAATCCATCAGGTCGTACAGCGTCTCCGAAGGAACCAAAACTCCATCGGCATATATCTGATATGGTGTCAGAAAGGTAGCCGCTGCCTTGACCATCGTAGGGTTGACCAGGTCGTAGTGTATGTATAAGCTGCTCGTGTCATTTTTCTTGTTGAGCTCCATGATGTAGTGCTCAATAAGAACATGTCGCCGAAGATGTCGTAGAGGAATGATAAGCGGCTGGCCCTGGTGCTTGACTATTGCCGATCCTGCGCGTCGCTCCAGGCTGATGACTTCCGCTGGTCCTCGCCATCCGCATTCGTCTTTCCGTGCTGGTTCTCGCCAAATATCACATATCGTTCCTGGAACGAGTAGCTCCGGCTCGTGCTGGTGCTGAGTTATCTTGGATGCCTGAGCTAATCGATCTTGAATAACTGACTGTACGATAGCCTGTCGAGCCAGTAGTCTTGCGCGTGACATAGACTCCACGTAGTCAGGACGCTTCTCAAGGGCGCCCGTCATGGATGTGATGGTCTCGCTGTCGATCGCAATCGTCCTCGGTAGCTGTCCAGTCAAGGCCAACTGTGGAGTGCTGCCGCCATAGTTGAGAGTACAGTTGTGGCCGGCGCAACACTCGTAGCAGATGTCGGAGTAACTGAGGTCCAATCCTTCTGCTTGACTTGACTGCTTGAGCTTGAGCATAGAAAGCTTAAGAAGAGCTAGATGCCTTTCGACAAGTCCTTTGGTGGTAGCTCCTCCTTTGCCAATAGCCAGTCTGTTGATCTCGAGTCGATCACATAGTTTGGTGGCTTCGTGTCCCATGAGACCTCCTTCTTGATCAGTGAGAAGGTTCTGCATCGCTCCCCAAATGCGTATCCAAAGGTAGTTGAGCGCCTTCACCAATACTGGACCTGTCTTGTTGATGAGATGGTCTCCGGTCTTCCACTTAGTAGCTTCATCAATTAGAATCATGAACGTTTCATCCCAGAGGAAGAACAAATCGTGCTGTACCATCTCGTTGAACACTGTAGCCAGAAACGATTTAATCTGAGGTCGTACGTGTCGTTTAGCCCATTGCTGACAAACTTCACAAGCCTTGCAAATCTCC